TCAAAGAGGGGGCGAAGTCCTCTGTCGGCAATTGTCTGATCTGTTTGCCTGCATTTTGGAAAACGAGACTGGACCAGACAACCGAGTGTCGATTATAGGGCCCATTTTCAAAAAAAGAGCGTGCGATAATCATAGGAGGATCAGTTTGACCCCAATTGTAACAAGACTTCTGGCATCACTTAATCTTCGTCGTCTTGTGGTGGCTCTTGAAATACTGGCTCGAAAGTAGCAGGCGGAATTACGGCCAGGTAGGGCTGCGTTGTCCAAATCTTAACACTCCCTCAAGGGCTAACAAAACGCCATACGTATAAACGACCTATAATCTTAGTATTTCTTGATTTCCAAGGCACACGTGACTCATTTGTCCGGCCCACCTTTGACCTGGCAAAGGGTATGAAAAGTCTGGGTGTTGTCGGTGCGACTCGCCTTCCAGGATGATGACCATTTAATCCGCACTGCGCCTGTTTGAAGACGCTGCAAAATGTAGCTGCTAACTTACGCCAGTGGAGTTGTTGTTCTCAGTTTCTACCTAGATTGTTTGAATGAGTGTCTGGATGTGTAGGCACTTCGAAATGAATGTGGTGGCCTACCACTAAGTCCCTTTCTCATTCACTTTTATTCATTCCTTCACAATACGGCCTTCAACGAAAGCATGACTGTACGGCAGTGAAGAATTGGTGCCGGCCAGGGATATCATGCCGCTGTTGTTGATAACGATGAAGAAGTAGCTGGCAGCAAACTCATTATACCGCAACAAGACTAAAATCATAGGCCAAATTGACGTACGTGAAACGTCGATCGATCGGCTTTAGTCACCCTTCTTCAGTTCCGCTTCGGATGCATGCAGCATTACAGCACCAGTGCTTCTGGTGCGCTAGCGTAAAATGTTCTTTGTAGCCGTTCTTTTCCAGGGCCAACTGTTGTACAACGCTGACGCAGTTCGAAGTGGCCCGTCGTCGCGGTTTGACTGAACACAGGTTTCCAGAAACTCCATGATATCTACTAGACGATACTGTACTGAGTAGAAGCCATATTCCAAAACATCCTTGTTCAGGGATCATCTATGTTAGACGAACTTTGTATCATATACCATGGTAAGTGGACTGTGAGCAGGTGGAAACAAATTTGATTCAGTTTTCATTACTTTGATGTTCATTTGGAAAGACCACAACTTTATATCCTGTTTACAACGATTAACCGTTGTATATGTTTGGTAACTGAACAGGACGTAAATCATGCAACCGGGTATCCCGAAACCTCTCTATTTATTGGGTAAATTTTGAAACTTTACTTATGAGATGTCTTTTGTGCTCAAAAGTGAAGCCAATAATGCCAAGCTCAAAACACGCCTCGAGTAACCATACTTGCGAGCACTACCAGATAATATCCGTGATGGTCAAGCCTACCAGTCTCCATTTTTTAACACCGTATAACACAGGTCTACAAACCTCCAAGGACCAAATCATTAGAGGCATCAACTACGCTTGTAACTAGAGAAAGGAGGTATGAAGTGGGATGTAGGAGAACAAGATCCGGGGCTGATCAGCTGCTGAATTAGGTTGGAAAGTTGATTCAATCTTGTTGTTGCTTCTGAAAAAGATCTTGAAGTTCTGACGCCTTCTGCGGTCGATCAACATGCTACAGGTTTTTCATGAGTTCGCAAAGACAAGTAGGAAAAAATTCCGTCTAAATTGAAGTGAATTATTCTATTAAGATGACTGAATAGTCCTGAAATCAGTAAAAACAGAAATAACCGATAGGAAATTTTCAGTCAACACCTAATGATTGAATAGGCACTTGTTTACCACAGACACATGGCTGAACTTAGCTTCTTTTGGGTAAACATGCAAGTACCTTAGAGGACATTTCCGCTGACAAACTACTAATTATCCCAAGATGCTATTTCGGGACTTTGGTAGTTGCCCGAGGTTATTTGACCCGCATGTGAATTCGATTGGAAAATGAATTGAGATCACTCGCATGCGGGTAAGTTTAAGGCAAAAACTGGTCGGCAAAAAGTTGCCTTGAAAACAGAACTTGATTGACCAAACTGAGTGAGCAGATAAGCAAATATCTTTGTGACCACAATGAGTCCCTTATAAGGTGCGATTCAGCCTATTGTTACCTTGTCCGCATTTTCCACCAGGTTACCTGGGTGACACAAGTAAATAACGGACGAGTGACAGCTCATGAATGATATTATTCTTGTGTTCTGTCAATTAATAGTCTGTTTGATTGCTAAAATTGCAAATAGGAATATCGATGGTGACGTGAGATAGAATTTGTGCTGATTTTAGCTAGATTCCTCAAAAGCTCTGAACAGTACATTAAGCTTGCTCACTGAGTGAAACCACAGTTGCTTTAAAAGTTGTCGCATCCATCAAAACGTTGTATTCACGATTCAAACTAGCTATGCTGTTTTTTTGTGGCTGTATACTAACTATCTGTATGGCTCTATTGCCTACCAAATCGTTCTTCATGGACCAGAGGGGTTAGCGACTGACCTACCGACTTCAGTGTGAACGATTATTACATGAAATAAAACACAAGCGGTACCATTCGGTGTATGGATTTTGCGCAGCACATCAATGTCGAAGCTTTGTAACTTCTTCTGAGTGGATTTGCTTCCCAAACTTAATAATAACCTGTCTGATTTTTACAAAAGCAGAAAGACATACTAGACAGCCATCTCTGTATGCCAGGAAGTAACTCCAGACTCCGACTGATTTCCCCGGTCACGTGATTTATTGGTGAGCACTGTTCACGCTGTCCACGCTGATCGATAAGTCAAGGCGACCACATACACAAGTCAGACATAATATGTGTTTTTTTGTTCCAGTTTATCGTTCCACATCAGAGGTGCATGCATGATACCATCAGAACATCATAATCGTCATCAAATAATCAATCTTCTTTCCTCACACAACAGGGATAATAATATTGTACTATCACGACGCTGTTAGATATCGAAAAAGTTTTGGTGTCCTTCAACTTCTCCACTTCAGCTGCACAAGGGCTGATATAATTCACGATCCAAATCCAAATATTGTCTAATATAATTTGACGTCACATGCCTGTAACAATGAGGCATACAGATTTTAGGTCGCATCAAATTTCGCTACATATAAGCAATACTGCTGATGAATAGTGATCCAGTGTTTCATTAGATTGTGTATGAAACCGAATGGTTACTCTGACGTATATTGGCACGGATCCATTACGTGCATGCTAGATGCACTTTGGAACGATTAAGAAAACCGAATTCACCCATCACCAGCGTCTCAAAAATCACGGGGCGCTTCAACTTAAACAAACCGGTTAATTTATCCCAGTCGGATTTTCCAACTGGATAAATCTGGAGCCCCGATTTTACAAGGTTCACGAAAATCCATACAGCCTGTAGCACACGTCAGCGCTGAATCACACTTGAATTGCAAACTTGTAATGTGCTCCCCTAGAAGTGATGGAGATGACAGTATGCCGGCTGTTTTCGTCTGGTTGAGGTTCTCATTCTGAGCGTGCGCCGTGAATTTCAGTCAACCTTATCTTTTAATCTGAAGGTGCACATTAGCATATTTTGAGTAGATCAATTGTTTGCCATCTTTGGTGATGTTAATTAGTGAAACGCCTCCGAGCGTCTGTATAGAGCACTGGTTGCTTCACAATTCGGCTTAGACAAGATAGCTGTCTATGTGAAAAGAGGTAGTGACCAAAATCCAGCTTAATCAGTCGTTAATACGACAAAAACCTGTCGATGGATTCACCTCGTCTTAACTTACTACATAAAGCAATGTTTAGAATGTACCTGACATCAGCATAATTTACTTTTTTCCATGTGCACTTGGTTTCAAGCTATCTTAGACGGAAGATTCACCTAAAGCCCGTTTTACGGTTATGTGAGTGATTATCGACTTGTTGAATGAGCAATTCACCCGGTCGTTGGGAGACAATTTGTACTGGTTATCATTCACTATCACCTCCGAAACCCTAAGCGCACCATCTGACTTTCGACTCTACCA